ATGTTAAGTCAGTTTTGTAGTCCTGGGATAGACTTCATTTAGTCATGAACTAGTATCCTTTTTTATATTATTGGCTTTAAATTGCTACTCTTTTTTTTTTTTTTTTAAAGATTTTTACATCTATACTTATGATGGCGTATTGGATTGTAGTTTTTCTTTAATGTCTTTGCCTGGTTTTGGTGTCCGGATGCTGTTGGACTCAGCAATTTTTTTTTTTTTGGAGTGTATGGAATTGGTATTATTTCTTCTTTTTAAATTGTTTTTAATGTATATTTATTTTTGAGAGAGAGAGAGAGAAAGCAGGGGAAGGGACAGAGGAAGAAGGAGAAACAGAATCTGAGGCAGGCTCCAGGCTCTGAGCTGGCAGCATAGAACCCGATGTGGGGCTTCAGCGCAGGAATCATGAGGTCATGACTTGAGCCGAAGTTGGACAGTTAACCGACTGAGCCACCCAGGTGCCCTGGTATTATTATTTTTTTAATGTTTGTTCAAATTCATGTTCAGCTGTCTTTGTCTGGAATCATTTTTTTGGGAGGAGAAGGCTTTTAACTACAGATTCAATTTCCTTTTTTTTTTTAATTTTTAATATTTATTTATTTATTTATTGAAAGAGAGGAGAGAGAGTGAGAGAGCAAGCCAGGGAGGGGCAGAGCGAGCGAGCGAGAGAGAAATCCCAGGCAGGCTCTGCACTGTCAGCACAGTGAAAAGGAAAGAAGGTTCTACCTGCCTAAAACTCTGCAGCATCTTCCCATTGTTCTCAGGATAAAATTCAAATGCAGGGCTCGAACCCATGAACTGTGAGATCACCACCCGAGCCAAAACCAAGAGTCAGCCACTTAACGAACTGAGCGCTGATTTCAATTTCTTTAATAGATACAGGGCTTGAATGGTTATCTGTCTATATCTTGAGTTAGCTTTGGTTGTTTGTGCTGTTAATTTTATTGGCTTACATTTAAATATTATTTGAATACATTATTATTTAAAATCATTTTTTAGAATTTATTTCGAGAGAGAGGTAGAGCCTGCACCTGTGTGCATGCAGGTGGGGGAGGGGCCAAGAGAGGGGGAGAGGGAGAATCCTAAGCAAGCTCCACACTGTCAGCACAGAGCCCGACACGGGGCTCGATCCCACGAACGATGGGTGAGGTCATGACCTGAGCCAAAATTGAGAGTCAGATGCTTAACCGACTGAGCCACCCAGGTGCCCCCAAAATGTGTGTCATTTTTAATATTTGTGATACCTCTTTTTTCTTGGCTAGTGGTTTATCGATTTTAATTGATCTCAAATTTAATCTTATCAGAGAACCAGCTTTGGTTTCAGTGCTTTTCTGTATCATTTTGTTTATTTTCTATTTGTTTTGCTTTGATCTTTATTATTTGTTTTCTTTTGTGTTTAGTTTATTCTTCGTAGATTTCTCCAGGTGGAAGCTTAAGTCGTTGATTTAAGACCATTCTTCTTTTCGAGTGTAGACCTAGTGCTACAGATTTTCCTCTCAGTGCTGTTTTAACTGCCTCACACAAATTGTGATATGGTTTATTTTCATTTTCATTTATTTCAAGATAGTTTATTTCCCTTTTGATTTCTTCTTAGCTGCATGGATTACTTACTTTTTATGTTTTTAAAATATAATTTATTGTCAGATTAGGTTACATACAACGCCCAGTGCTCATCTCAGCAAGTGCCCTCCTCTATGCCCATCACCCACTTTCCCCTCACCCCTACCTCCCCCCCACACCTTCAGTTTGTTCTCTGTATTTAAGAGTCTCTTGTGGGTTGCCTCCCTCCTTCTCTTGTTTGTATCTATTTCCCCCGCCTCCCTTCCCCCTGCATGGGTTATTTAAAAGGTGTTATTTGAGGGAAACCTGAGTGGCTCAGTCCACTGAGCTTCCGACCTCAGCTCAGGTTGTGACCTCTCAGTTAGTGAGTTCAAGCACCATGTAGGACTCTGTGCTGACAGCTCAGAACCTGGAGGCTGCTTCAGATTTTGTCTCTCTCTGTCCTTCCCCCATTCGTGCTATGTCTTTCTCTCTCTCTCTCAAAAATAAATAAACATTAAAAAATTTTTTTTTCAAGTGTGTTATTTGGTTTCCAAATATTTGGAGATTATCAAGACATCTTTCTGTTAATGATTTGTAACTTAATTACATTGGTGTCAGGGAACATATTTTGTATGACTTGAATTCTTTTAGGTTTATTGGGATTTTTTTCATGGTCTAGACTATGGTTTATCTTGGTTAATATTCATCTGTTATTAAGTGGAATATTCTGGAAATGGGTCAAATTAATTGATATGGTTCAGGTACTTTATAGTTTTTTTTTTAATGTTTTATTTATTTCTAGGAGACAGAGACAGCGTGAGCAGGGGAGGGTCAGAGAGAGAGGGAGTCACAGATTGAAACAGGCTCCAGGCTCTGAGCTGGCAGTCAGCACAGAGCCCGAAGCGGGGCTCAAACCCACGAACCCTGAGATCATGACCTAAGCGAAAGTCGGACCCTTAACCAACTAAGCCACCCAGGCGCCCCTATAGTTTCAATATGTAAATTTAAATGTATGTTTTTCTATTATGTTTTATATCACATTTGTGTCTCATGAATTCATTTTTATTTTAGCTGAGGATATTCTCTATTACTTCTTGTGGCAGATCTGTTTTACAGTGGTCACAATATTGGGCGCTTGGGTGGCTCAGTTGTTGAAGCGTCCGACTTCAGGCCATAATCTCTAATCTTGTGGTTTGTGGGTTTGAGCTCCGCATCACTGATGATGCAGAGCCTCCTTGGGGTTCTCTCTCTTACTGCCCCTCTGCGTGCTCTCTCTCTCTCTGAAAATAAATAAACTTAAAAAAAAAAAAAAACCGCAGTAAGAAAAAAAAAAAAGGTCACAACATTATCTTGCATTTCTCATGTTTTCTGTAATATGGCCTTGCAAGAAAGAATGGAGTTCTGATTCTCCTGTGCTTGGGTGTAGCCTGTCCTTGGTGACTCGATCGATGTAATACAGTAGAAATGGTTCACAGCTTCTGTGACCAGGTCAGAAAGGCCAGACATACTGCTTTCACTTGGTTTCCTTGAAACACGTAGTCTCTAGACATTTCTTTTCACAATCCTCCCTCTCATGACCTCCCTATTACTGTGAGAAGCCAAGCCGGGTGGAGAGGCCTCGTATAGGGGCTCTGGTGTACGGGCCTCATGGAGCCTTCGTTGGCCAGTCCAGCTCAGCTGTCAGATACGTCAGGGAAGAAATAGGTCATCTTCCAAGTGGATCCTCCAACCTCAGCTTTTGCAGCTGTTGAAGTCAACGCCAGTCATTTGACTCTTCCTAGATGAGGTCCCGGATAATGTGAGGCAGAGAAGGGGTAATTCTGCTTTGTCTTCCTCAGTTCCTACCCTGTAGGATCTCTCTGTATAACCAAATGTTTGTTTTATACCACTAACTTTGATTGGTGGCTTATCATAGAACAATGGGGATCACTTCGTTTCAGTAGGGTATGCAAGAGGTAAACCTTTCAGTCCCTTCTTGGCTGAAAATATTAACTTCACTCTTCATTGGTTTTGGAAATCTTGGTTATAAAGTCATGCACCCTCAGAACTTTGAAGTTTCGTCTCCGTTGTCTTCATGCATCCATGGCTTGCCAGTGAAACATGAGGTAAATCTGAATCTCATTCCTCTGTGAGGGTAGTGCTTTCTCCCTTGTGAAGCTTTTAGGATTTTTGAGCTTCACGCCTATCTTCAAAGTGCATGTAGGTAATCTATGATCCATTTCTGGCTGAGGACTCATATCTCTTCCTTTACCTGTGTATATTTATTATACTCTAAAATTTTTTTTCTTCTTTTAATTCTCCACATTTGGATACTTCTTGATTAAAGTTGGTTTCTCCCTTTCACCGTGTTGTCCATCAAATTGAGGTGCTCCTTGGCTGTTGTATTGTTTGCTTTTTGAGAAGCCCTTTTACACACTCTGCAGATTCTCTATGAGTTCATCGCTGCCTGCACCCAGAAGTTGTTGGGAATCGCATAGTACCAGGGAAAGTGGAGGGGTTCCTGGTCTTCGTAGGTGTCACTGGGAAACTTGCTGATCCTTTGGGGATAGATACATGTATTTACTTCTATTACCCCTGGGTCTGGAGGCAGCGGAAGAGTTGATCCACTTGCTCCTACTGAGGTATTTCAACCAATTAGGCTTTGGTTTTCTTCAGGGAAGTCTCTTGCTTCCCACTTTTGCTGCTCTGGAGCATGGAGCAGTACCTACTTGTGGCATCAATTTTTTTCTTGGGGAAAAAGCCTGTGGGTATATGATTACCTCCTTTCATCCCATCTCCTCTGCCTTCTGTCTTTCAAAGAAATTCCTGATCATTTTGATTTTTCTGAGGACACCTATCCAAGGGGTAGCTTTGTTTTTCAGGACTTTCTGAATTTAAGAGGCTGGTAGATATGCTCTGTCTACCATTTTAGTCTAATTGTGGTGGTTTTGTTCAAAATTCACAGAAATCTGACATGCTGTTTTTATATGCACACGTACTTCTCCTTCTTCTTCTGCCTGTTCTTCCTTTCTTAGGCTACTCACTACCAGGCTGAGAAACTACTTCCTTGTCTCTTAATCTTGGATCCCTTCATCTATCCTTGGTTGTATCTCAGTATTGATAAAAATCTGTGGACTATATTAATAAGGAAAATTACACTCTTTTAGTTTATGACTAATTTTGACAAGACTGCATGGAATATGTAATCTAATAAAGTGATCCAATAAAGTGTTGTCATATAGCTTGCAGAAATTTTGAGAAAGATACTGTCTGTGTCCCACATTTTTTTCTGTTGTGTATAGAAAATATTCAGAATGACTTTCAGTGACTAAAATACCCACAATTTTATGAGGTTTTAAGAGTCAGGTTTTAGTATGTTTGTGTAGGGTTTTATTTTGAGTTAACCAGAGTGCTTATTTCTTCCCTAAACTGGTGATTTACTTCAGACTTCACTATATTAAAGAAAGGTTTGTTTTTTTCAGAGCAACATCTCAGACATGTCGAAAAGGATGTTTTGATCCCTAAAATAATGAGAGAGAAAGCCCGAGAGAGATGTTCTGAACAAGTTCAAGGTAAGATTCAAATATTCATATAAAGATCAAATACATTTTTTATAATATGATCTGAATTTAATCCTTAGCCTTAGAGTCAAGTAGTCAATGAATTAATATGTATGAATTGTTTCTCACCCTTTCACTGAGATACCAGTATTTCAGCTTTCAGAACTTCCAATCAGTATTCAATTCATTTACAATTTAAAAATATTCTCCCAAATTACTAGTAAAAAATATTTTTTCCCAGAAGTACAGTTATATATAGAAAAACTTGGTATTTGTATTTTAGAGAAACAAATTATTCTGGTGACTTTGATAGGGAAAGAAGAAACATCAGATGTAACATGTACCTGTGTTTTCTTCATCAACATATTCACACAGATATATATATATTCTAAGATGATTTTCTTTGAGGTCATTGTCTATTACTGAATTGTTAGTGGAATCCCAGTAGTACTTACAATGAGTCTGGGTTTTGTTTTTGTTTTTATTTTTACTTCTCTGTATTTTATGTTTCTTTTAAAAAATTTTTTTAAAAGTTTATTTATTTTTGGGGGGTCGGGGGGAGAAAGAGGGAGATACAAAATAGGAAACAGGCTTCTGGCTCTGAGCTTTCAGCACAGAGCCCAGTGCAGGGTTCAAACCCACGAGACATGAGATCATGACCTGAGCTGAAGTTGGATGCTAACTGACTGAGGGGCACCTGGGTGGCTTTTAAAAAAAATTTTTTATTTTTTAATGTTTTATTTATTTCTGAGAGAGACACAGCATGAACAGGGGAGGGTCAGAGAGAGACACACACACACACAGAATCTGAAACAGGCTCCAGGCTCTGAGCTAGCTGTCAGCACAGAGCCCGATATGGGGCTCGAACCCATGAACTGCGAGATCATGACCTGAGCCCAAGTCGGATGCTCAACCGACTGAGCCACCCAGGTGCCCCAGTATTTTACATTTCTAAGTGAAAGATATTTCTGTAAATGTACGCTCTAGGCACCCATATACACATATTTTCTTTGGAAAAATGTTTCTTAACGTGAGTTATTCTGTATTCTATAAATATAGAGATAAATTGTTGATTAATATATAATAACATTCAGTGAAAACCTGTAAACAGAGCAGCAGAAGGTGAAACATGAGGCCATACATGGTGGGTAATTAGAAAAACAGACAACAGTATTTCTGTAGAAATGTCTTGTTAAAAAAAATCTCCCCCCTGGAATGGCCATCTAAAAGAAGTGGTAAAATTCTGCTGAGGTCGACTGTTTATCTGGCTCCCCTTCTTCACCTTTCCCTGTAGTCTTTTTCCTTGAGGGACTGCACTGATTCTTAGTGAGGATGATGGGCTGCAGTTCCATAGCCAGTTTCTCTGCAGGGGGCCAGGCTGTGTCAACTGTGTTTCGGGACCGTGTCAGTAATGTTCGGATGCTGGGAACATTTCTGTCCCTTTGGTGCCCTTCTCCTTTGAGAATGACCTTTGGAATCATTGGAAGCAGTAGAAGAGTAATTTCTCAGAACGGACATCGTGTGATGATCATGTCTGTTTCTTTAATGACTTATTATGATCTATTCTAGTTTCAGATCCATTCACAAGTTAGATTGAAAATAAATGCATCCATGAATAAATATGTTACCGGTAATTACCTAGTGTCATTCTGCGATACTACTTTTGCTTTCAGTATGAGTTAGTTGCTTCATCAGAGTACCTTCCTTCCACTCACAGCCCCAGGTGTCAGGAGAAATTAGCCCATTACCACCTGCAGACAGGGTTTGGTGCAAAGCTGGCCTTGGCAGGTGTCATGCTGATCATCTCAAGAGGTAATCCTCCACTTGCCTCAGAACTTACAAAAAAAAAAAATTCCTGACTCAGTTGAGGGAGGAAAAAAAATTAACAATGTGTAATGAAATTACAGGGTTAACTTTTCAGTCCTAGGAAAATTTACTTATGCCTGATACATTGGTCCAAAGTGATGAATATGAGATATATTTATGGTGTTTTTTTTTAATTTTTTATGTTTATTTTTAAGAGAGAGTGAGTGAGAGCGAGAGCATGAGCAGGGGAGGGGCAGAGAGGGGGAGACACAGAATCAGAAGCAGGCTCCAGGCTCCAAGCTGTCAGCACACAGCCTGACATGGGGCTTGAACCCACAAATGGTAAGATCAGTCCTGAGCCAAAGTTGGCTGCCCAACCGAGCCACCCAGGTGCCCCTATTTATGGTGTTTTTAACACATTTTCCTGATAATCAGAACGAAATAAAGCTAGCTAATTCAGTTATCGATTGAGGTTTTACTCACACGGTTCAGATGAAAATGCAGAATATTTAGGGTTTGGGTTTCAGAACTGCCTTTGCTTACTCTTAGTCAATGTAACTGTGTTTTTGGCTTTTGAAATGAAAGAGAGTATAACTTTAAAACATTTATTAGTTTGTGTGGCACAGCTACTATCATATAATGGAACAGGAAAAATCTTTACTTTTCACTTTTTTAAAAAAGTTTTTATTTAAATTCTAGTCAGTTAACACATGGTAAAACTGGTTTCAGATGTAGCATTTAGTGATTTGTCACTTCTTTATCAAAAGTTAAGGTTTTGCTTTTTTAAATATGCTTAAAATCTCCAGAAGACTGAAAGCATCTTAAAATTTGAGACCTGCTTGGGTTACTTCAGTGCATTTGCCTCTATTAGAACATGTTATAACTATTGATTTTTGAATATTTGAATCTTTTATAGATAATCATATATTGATTATCTTTAGGCCATATGGTCCAAAAACAGAGTTATAGAATCTAAAATTGATTATTTTATAAAACAATAATCTTTAGTATTCTTCCTGCCTGGCCATGTGATTTAGTAAGACTGTGCACTGGGTATCGCTGAAGCAGTAGCAGAACAGCTACATTTGAACTGAGCAGTAAGATGTAATTTAGAAATCAGGACACTTCCCTTGTAGTTTATTTACTATTTGTAGCCTTTGCCTTATTAATTGCTTATAGGATTTTATATAAAAACATTATGTGTGCTAATTGTATAGTTCTTAGATAAAGATATAGGAATTTTAATAAGTGATCTGACTTTCTGCTAAGTGCCTGAAACCTGATAATGTTGGAAAGCTTTTCTGTTTGATTTTTTTTGCATGTCATTTCAACCCAGCTGATCATAAGAATTGGGTCAGCCTGCCAGCAACTTAGGTTTGTGAAGGGAATGGAACAGCTTTTCCGGGGACAAAGAGAAATGAAATCACTTTCAGTGAAAGAAAGATGCCTCATTATAGTCACCAACAGCAGTTATTGACAGCTACACTTCCTATTAACAAGGAGCATTTAACTAAGAGTTTGGCTGTTGGATCTTTGGACTTGATCTAATTTGCTAGCATTAATTAGTTTCTTTTGAGCACAGACACTTGGTGCTCACAGCTATAGACTTGGAGGGCTAATTAGGATAGAAAATGGAACAGAATGGGGTAAGGCATTAACCTTCAACCATTACCAGCTGGGACACTGATAAAGACCACAGAGTCCAAATGCTCCCTATTGATGTGAAGAGTACCCTAATGAATATCAATTTCAGCCAGGTTGCTATATTCTTACTAGTTCTCTCTTCATTATAATTTTTAACCAGTTTCCATGATACCTTCATTATCTGTATATACACTATTGGTTTTTACTGTTCAGTGATTTAGTCTGAGTCGCACATTTTGTCTTAGGTTTAAATATAATTAAAGTTTGCCTTAGCAGATAACATTTAGAATGTTTCATTGTTATGTACCTTAATACTTCTAAAATTTAACTTTTATTTACAAATACCTAATTCTTATTTTCTACAGTGGATTTTTATAAAGTCACGGCAACTTTACGATTTAAAATAGTGAGAACTATAACCTGAAACCAGAAAAATCTCAGTTTTTGGGTGACAGTCAAGCGGTGTTTGTGTTAAATTGGGGTCAACTTTGACCATCTTTGTCTCTATAAAATATGCTTTATTGTATTCTTTTTCAAAAGTAGTACTCCTCACCTTTTCTTTTGGAATTTAACTTTGATTTGAGTCAAGGTGGCTTGACTTAGAGATTAGATGTAGAATTGAAAATCCTGATCTTGTTATTATGTAAACTTCGACAAGATTATAAACTGTTGGTAGGACACATATCAACAGAAAAGCAAGTGATCAATTGATTTGGATAGAAAGCTAAACTTTATAATATTCTTCTTTTGTGAGTGATATTGACAGTGAGTAGAGCCCCAAACAAATTACCAAAGTGCATTTGTAGATGTTAACGCAGTGATCACTAACTATGTTGGGAATGGAACTTAAGGAAAAGTCTAGAATGTCCTATCTCTCTCCCAGTCTGCCTACTTCCCAAAAGCCAAAACAGAAATGCTCTTCCATCAAGTGTGGTGGTGGAATCATTGCTTTTCTTGGATCTGGGAGTTACCAACTTGTGGTGTTTTAGAAAGACGGGTTGATGACCTCTGGAGTTTACTTCCACTCTGACTTTTCCATGTGTTTGACTCTTTGCTAATTTAATGGTTTATATTTTCTATGTTAGTAATATCATTTGTCATATATTGTATGTAATGTATAGTTTGTCATATATGTACTATAGATCATATGTATATATTAAAGTATGCATTCTAGGGTTATAATTTCTCTTCTGGAAATAATAGTCCACGGAGAGGTAGAGTCCCTGAATTGCTATTTTGTAAAAATTCATTGTTTGTTGCTGTTTTTGAATTGCACAGTTGGCATTTGATGTAAAGTTTCCATGTTGAATAATGAAGTTTGCTTTAAATAAAATAACATTTCTTTTTCTTGTTGCTATGACCCATCAAAACCAAAATAGTACCCTGTCATCAGGGACAGCCCAGAGCTGTCTTTTCCCTAGGTGTAAACTCCTGCCCACTGATTCCTTTCATCCTTGGGGCCTTCTTTTACCTTATTTTAATGTTTCTTTTGTATCATTGTCTTCTGCTGCAGTCTTTTTGATCTTTTGGCCAATAGGTGGGGTTAGTTTTTTTTTTTTTTT